AAAAAAAGAATTTCAGGAGTAGAATGTTTCCAGGTTCATAAAGTTGAGGACATGCCTTTGAATGTGGACTGCTTAAGAAGTGTGGAAAAGGACAGTCTGCGGAATTGAACATGGTGAACCCACACAGGAGGGCACCTGGAAACAGGGTAGAAAGCAAGTCTGAGTTGGATGTCGAAGATTAGTGGTCGAATCTGCAGGAGCCAAAAAGGGAAACGATTTATTTCTACTATATTTCTTAGTTCTGTACTTATATTGCAATGTTGACCCAGAGGTTGTTGAATTTCTTTTTATTGGACACATTTTGATAAGCCTGGTAGGTTGCCAGTGGCTAAGCCAGTCATAAAGTTGAGAGATGTAGAAATAGGTTTAGGCAATATTTCAGCTCTTCTGTAGGTACAGAGGTTTCGATTTGATTGTGTGTATCAGGTACAGCGAAGGAGGAAAGCATTGGCTTCTTGTTTTTTAAAGTGTATAAGCAAGTCTTTAAAGGCCTTTTCATTAAATTTGTTTTGTTTTAGAGGTGTGCACATTGTACTGCTTTAAAAAGTATATCTTGGGGCGCCTGGGTGGCTCAGTTGGTTAAGCGACTGCCTTCGGCTCAGGTCATGACCTCAGGGTCCTGGGATCGAGCCCCACATCAGGCTCCCTGCTCAGAGGGAAGCCTGCTTCTCCCTCTCCCACTCCCCCTGCTTGTGTTCCCTCTCTCACTGTGTCTCTCTCTGTCAAATAAATAAATAAAACCTTTAAAAAAAAAAAAGTATATCTTTTCCGTTAGAATTTGGTCTAGAATTTCATACTATGTATCATATTATAATTGTTATAAAATGTATTCAGTTTATAAAATAAAAAGTCATTCAGCAAGCCCCATCTAATTAAATCATACTTTGAGATTCCAGTATGCCTCTAATTTTGTTTTCTGTTATGGCAGATCTTTTATTTAATATAGCCTCTGATAGTGAGTCTCAAAATACTGTTTTTGTCATTCTTAGGAAAACGGGAAATCATTTTCACAACTTCATTAGTTGGCAAGACCTAAGAGCTGTTGAACTTATAAAATCTTGGAATAATTCCCTCATAATGAAGGTAATCTTTTTCTTATCTTCTGTGATTTGGATGTTACTCTTTTCCCCGTAGATGTCCCTTAACTGTAGGCTTAAGTGCATAATCTCCCACCTGTACTGTTTTAGGACGTTGAGAAGAGAATACACATATGCACACTCCTCACATCAGTGAAACTCTGTAATAGTCACCCAAAAGCATATGAGGTAGACTCAAGTACTTAATTAATTACACTTCAGGAAACCCTGAGGAGGTTTAGGACGGCCCAGATGTTCTCACGTGAGTGAGATAATTCATGTTGCCATTCTTGGAGAAATAGACAAGATGCAGACTATGTCCAGAAAAAATACAGAAATGTCCAAATTTCATCCTCTTTTGTTATAAAAGTGGAGAATGGATATCGAGATGGATAACTAGCTGACTGCCACGAGCTCTTAACCTGATGCCTACCACGGTGGTCGCAAATGACAAAGCTGATGACCATGACGATGACAGCAGTGGTGGTGGCAATGTACGTGTGGGATTGCTGAGTCAGAGGGTAAGACAATTTTCCAAACGTGGCCAAGCCTGCAGTATGTGATGTTATAATCAATACTGCACGTTCCCTGTTGCATATTGCAATACTACGTGTTCAAATGCCGCACAGCTAAATGCCTCCTCGGCATAGGGTGCCTGTGGCAGATGGTGCTTCAGGGAGTATCTGGAGCATCGGTTTTACTCCATAACTATTTGGAGACATTAATTTTATATGAAAACAAACATGAAGATATTATGGAATATATGCATGAGTGAAAGACACTTTTGCCATAATCTCACCCACGTTGGTTTTTCTTTTGTTAGTTTAATATATGAAAATGCACCTTGCTTTAATAACTTGTAAGGCTGAGAACCGAGAGGTGCTGTTTACAGGAAAGAGAAATTAAGGAGTTGAAAATAATTGTAAGGAAATGTCATGAACTTTGAACGGTATAATTTAAAATTATACTATTTATAATGTGTAATTCTGTATCTTAATGGATAATTTTAGTTTTTAATAGGTCAATTAATCAGACATTTCTTAGGTTAGTCAGTGAGGTATTTAAAACTTTTATTCCTTTAAAAATAAGTTTTGACTTTGAAAACATTTACTTCTGTAAGACAAACCCCAAATCTCAAATGTAAAACTGACTTCAAGCACAAAACTCAGCCTTTAAAGCACTTCATCTACTTGATATTGAGCATGTGCATGATGTAAGCTTTGGCTTCTCTTAGGAGAAAAATGTACACAGACTCTTGGAGTTTAGCACACATGATTCCAGGGCCTGTCTTGCCACTGAGAGAACCGTTCCTACCCTGCACTCATCCTATACTGGATGCTTTTTTTTTTTTTTTTTTTAAGGATTTTATTTTTAAGTAATCTCAACATGGGGCTCAAACTTACAACCCCAAGATCAAGAGTTGCATGCTCTACCGTCTGAGCCAGCCAGGCACCCCTATCCTGGATGCTCATGGGTTAGTTAGTGAGGCTCATGGAAATGTTGAGGATGTATATGCCAGAGATGAAACCAAAGTCATTCATTTAGCCAGTGCTAGCTCCAAGCAAACCGGTGAAGTATTTGATGTGTGTTGGCAGTCTCCTGGCACCATTGTTTTCCTCCAGTTCTTCCAGCACCCATGCTTCCTCTTACTCTTGTTCTGATTCTTTCTTAATGGTTGCTAGGGCTTCTCTTTGCTTTTAGCATAAAATCCCAACTCCTTACCATGGATTGGCCCTGTCTACAGCTCTGACCACCTCCCAGACCCTTCCTCCCTGAAGCTGCTAAGGATTCAGCTCCAGCTTTGCCAGCGTGGTTTTGTTCTTACAGCACTGAAGCTGTCTCTTATCTTAAGGCCTTCGCACCCTCAAGGGGCTCTCTCTGCCATCATGACTGGATTCGTCTCATCTTTTCGGGTGCAACTCATATGCCATCTCGTCTGTGTGAGCCCTTTGCTGCCATCCCATTTATAGAGGAGCATGTCCCCACTTCTCAATCCAGTCTCTATCATACTGTCCTTTCTTTCACGGCACTTACAACATTTCAAAGATTTTGAGACATACATTTTTTTAATTGAAATTTTAATTGAGATAATTATAGATTCACATGTAGTTGTAAGAAATAATACAGGGATCCCTTCTAGGCTTTGCAGTTTCTCTCAATGGTAACATTTTACAAAACTATACTATACTGTCACAACCAGGATATTGACATTAATACAATCTATAGATCTTATTCAGATTTCCCCAGTTTTACTTGTACCTGTGTGTGTGTTATAATTTCTGTACAGCTTTTTTCCTGTGTTCATGTAACCACCACCAGAATCAAGATGCTGAATAGTACCTTCATTACAAGGGTCCCTCATGTTGCTCTTTTATAACCACATCCTCTCTCTTCTGTGCACTCCCCACGCTCATCCCATCCCTCGCTCCTTGCAACCACTAATCTGTCCTCCATTAAATATTTTTTCTCACTTCAAAAATATTGTATATGTAGAGTGATGCAGTGTAAAACCTTTTGGGGTTTGCTTTTTTCACTTAGTGTAATTCCCTGGAGAATCCAAGTTGCACGAGTATCAATAGCTTGTTTCTTTTTATTGCTGAGTTGTATTCGGTGGTACACATGCATCACCTATTTAAGGACATCTGTGCAAGTTCGTTTTTGGCTATTACAAATAGAGCTGTTTTGAAAATCTGTGTACAGAATTTTATGTGAACATAAGTTTTCATTTCTCTAGGATAATACCCCAGGGGTACAATTAATTGCTAGGTCAAATGGTAATTGCATGTTTTGTTTTATAAGAAACTGTCAGTCTTTTTCCAGAGTAGCTGCATCATTTACATTCTCACCAGCAATGTATGAATTATAAGACATACATTTCTTTTTTCCAATTTAAAAAGGGTGATTTTTTAAGAAGGATTTTTTGTTTGTTTGGGTTTTTTTAGGGTGTTTTTTTTTTTTAAGAATTTATTTTTAAGTATCTCTCCACCCAGTGTGGGGCTCAGACTCACAACCCCAAGATCAAGAGTTGCGTGCTCTACCAACTGAGCCAGCCAGGCACCCCAAGCAGGATGTATTTTTAACCATTAATTTTTTAAAATCATTTTAACCATCAGTTATATCTTAGCATTATATCACAATTTAAATAGCAGGATTTTTTTTTCTTTTTTTGGTGGCACATTTAATATTGGTTTATTTTACATTCAGTGTCTCTTAGATTATTTCACTTACTGATTTGATTACTTGTCTGGCTCTTCCCACTAGAATGTAAATTTCAAGAAGGCAGAGATTCTGCCTATATTGTTCATTCTGCTTTGTCAAGGCCTAGCACAGTCCTTGGTACATAGAAGGTACTCAATAAATATTTGTTAACTGTAAAAACAAAATGTTAATTGTTCATATGTTGGTTAAAAGTGCAGGTGTAAGAACTCTTCATACTTCTTGCATGCCTCACCCAGGTATCTGTATTTTAATAGAAGATCCCTGAAGGATATTAAATGTAATTTTTTTAATAGAGGAAAGTATAGTGTTCTTAGGAAGGAAGAACTTCTTTCAGTTTGAAGCATTCTTCTCATATAACACAGCAGAAGAAGGATTATGGGTGGTCATTTTATATACTTTCAGAAACTCTTATCTTTTAATAAACTGCAAAATATAAAGAAACACAGAAGGTTTGAAGGGTACAAACTTTCAGTTATAAGATGAATAAGGTCTGAGGATCTAATGTATAACATGATGACCATAGTTGATAACACTGTATTATATAATTGAAATTTGCTAAGAGTAGAACTTAAATGCTCTCACCAAAATGAAAAGGAAAAGAAAACAATTAAAATGGGGCTCATTGGGCGCCTGGGTGGCTCAGTTGGTTGGGCGGCTGCCTTCGGCTCAGGTCATGATCCTGGAGTCCCGGGATCAAGTCCCGCATCGGGCTTCCTGCTCAGCGGGGAGTCTGCTTCTCCCTCTGACCCTCTTCCCTCTCGTGCTTTCTATCTCTCATTCTCTCTCTCTCTCAAATAAATAAATAAAATCTTTAAAAAAAATAAAATAAAATGGGGCTCATTGTTCCAAAAAAAGGGACAAGACTGAAATGTAGAGAGAATTGAGTCTATACATTTTCTTGATTGTTGCATTTATTATTTTAATAAATAAACCAAAATCTTTAAATATATACATATATATTTTTTTAAACATTTTAGAGAGAAGGCTCATGTGTGTGTGAGTGGGGAGGGAGGGGCAGAGGGAGAGGGAGAGAGAGAATCTTTTTTGTTTTTAAGATTTTATTTATTTGACAGAGAGAAAGAGAGAGCACAAGTAGGCAGAGAGGCAGGCAGAGGGAAAGGGAGAAGCAGGCTCTCTGCTGAGCAGGGAGCCCGATGTGGGACTTGATCCCAGGACCCTGGGATCATGACCTGAGCCGAAGGCAGATGCTTAACTGACTGAGCCACCCAGGAGCCCCAGAGAGAGAGAATCTTAAGTAGGCTCCACACCTAGCATGGAGCCTGATGCAGGGCTCGATCTCACAACCCTGAGATCATGACCTGAGCCAAAATTGAGATGGATGCTTAACTGACAAAGCCACCCAGAGCCCCTTTAAATACATTTTTTTAGGGGAGGGGTGTGCAATAACAGAGGGAAGAAAATGCAAGTGAATATTTTGTAAAACATTAGTTTCAGAAGTTGAATTGCCCATCTGCATTCTTGTAGTAGGCGGCAGGATAAAGTTTTTGTTTTTTGATTTTTTTTTTTTTTTACTATGACAAACCTTAAAACTCAAAGCTAGTTTTCTATGAAAGGCTTTTTCTTTTTGATTAAAGATTTTCTTACTAAGAAGTAAATTTTAAACTATATATATTTCATCTTTGATTTAGGTAAGTATAGATAGTATTAAATGAAATCATACATCCCAAATTTCAGGTACTTAAGATGTAGGGGAGATTCCCTTATGGTTTAATACTAACTTCATTAAAAATATATTTCTAACCAGAATATAGCCTTCTTCCTTGACTCTCTCCCTTTTATTTTAAAAGACTTTATCTTGAGCTTCTTGTGTTTGCTAAAGAAGGTCATAGTAGATGTGTTACATTTCATGTGTTAGAATACATATGTTAAAAATTGTCCACTTAGGGTAATACTGCTTTACTTTTCTTAAGTGCTAAAAAGACACTGCAAGTAGTTGAATTATTTGTTTGTTATTGGGTTTGTTTTCATGTGTGTAGAATTAATATAGAAATATCAAACACCATTAAATGTGTTTTCCTAAAGTATCTTTTTTTTTAATAGCTATTCCAGAGTTCCTGCCGAGTGCTGCACTTTTTCACTAGAAGTAAACGATTTTTAGCCGTCAGTTTGTTCAGTTTCACAAACCAGCATGTTTCTTTGAGACTGGCCTGGATTTTACAGAACCTGGTTGAGGTAAGGAAAGACTCTGTGTGTGTGTGTGTGTGTGTGTGTGTGTGTGTAGACTACAGGGAAGAAAAAAGTAAAGGAATAAAGATAGTAATTTGCTTATCTGAAGGAAAATTAAGTATCCACTACATATTGGTATGGAGTACAGGAATCTTTACTCTGTTTTTTTAAACCTTTTTATTTTAAGTCATAACACATACAGAAAACTGAACAAAACAAAAATTTACCACTCAGTGATACATTGTGGAGCAAACATCTGTGTAACACTACTTGAATCAAGAAATAGAACATTGTGATACCGTATATCACATTTTCTTTCCAATTTTACTTTTTAACTTGTGTTTTTTTCTCAATACTATAGTTTTACCTGAATTGTTTTGAATTTTGTATAAACGTGTAAATTAATTTTCTTATATTTTCATTGCTATTTAGTGTTCAATGTATGATTTTATCACTATCCATTTATCCATTCTGTTCGTGTTAACATTTGAGTTATTATGAATAATGCTGTCTTTTTGGGGTATGTATAAAGGCATTTCTGCTGTATCTATATATGGGAATGGAATTTTTAGGGCATGAATGTGTACATATATATATATTTTTTTATTTTTCACTTTTAGTGGGTAATGTAAAAAATTTTGCACCGTTTTTGATAATTTACATACCCACCATCAGTCAGTGAGAGGACTTCGTATTTCATGTACCATCGTAATTGGTATTATTAGGGTTTGTTTTTTAATTTTAGCCATTTTGGTAGGTAAATAGTGATCTCTCATTATGATTTTAGATTGGGTAATAAAAAAAGAAGATTCACCTGTATGCCATCTACAGGAGAAACATTTCATTTATTTTTTTAAAGATTTTATTTATTTATCTGAGAGGGTGTGAGAGGAGGGAGAGGGAGAAGCAGACTCCCCACTGAGCAGGGATCCTGATGTGATGAGGGACTCGATCTCAGGACCCTGACCTGGACCAAAGGCAGACACTTAACCAACTGAGCCACCCAAGTGCCCCCAGAATATACATTCTTTTTTTTTTTTTTTTTAAAGATTTTATTTATTTATTTGAGAGAGAGAGAATGAGAGCCAGAGAGCACAAGAGGGAAGAGCGTCAGAGGGAGAAGCAGACTCCTTGCTGAGCAGGGAGCCCAATGCGGGACTCGATCCCGGGACTCCAGGATCATGACCTGAGCCGAAGGCAGTCGCTTAACCAACTGAGCCACCCAGGCGCCCCAGAATATACATTCTTAAGTGCACATGGAACCTTCTCCAGGATACATCACATGCTACATCATAATACAATCTTCAATAAATTTAAAAGGCCTGAAATCATACAAGTATTTCTCTGATAACAAAGGAATGAAATTAAAAATAATTAACAGAAAGATGGGGTGCCTGACCGGCTCAGTCAGTAGAGCGTGTGACTTTTTTTTTTTTAATTTAAGATTTTATTTATTTATTTGACAGAGAGAGACACAGCGAGAGAGGGAACACAAGCAGGGGGAGTGAGAGAGGGAGAAGCAGGCTTCTCGCTGAGCAGAGAGCCCAATGCAGGGCTCGATCCCAGGACCCTGGGATCATGGCCTGAGCCAAAGGCAGGCGCTTAACGACTGAGCCACCCAGGCGCCCCAAGCATGTGACTCTTGATCTCAGGGTTGTGAGTTCAAGCCCCACATTGGGTATAGAGATTACTTAAAAATAAAATCCTTAAAAATAAAAAGAAAGAATTAGCAGAAAGAAATTTGGGAAGTTCAAAAATAAATGGAAATCAAACTGTTCTTTTAAATAACCAGTGGGTAAAAGAAGAAATCCTAAGAGAAATTATACTTTGAGATGAATGAAAATGAAAACACAGTATATCAAATCATGTGTTGCGGCAAGATCAGCGTTTAGATAGAAATTTATACGGGGTGCCTGGGTGGCTCAGTCATTAAGCGTCTGCCTTCGGCTCAGGTCATGGTCCCGGGGTCCTGGGATCAAGCCCCACGTTGGGCTCCCTCCTCCACAGGAAGCCTGCTTCTCCCTCTCTCATTCCCCCTGCTTGTGTTCCCTTTCTCGCTGTGTCTCACTCTGTCAAATAAATAAATAAAATCTTTTTTAAAAATATTTAAAAAAAAGAGAAATTTATAGCCAGAGTATATTACATATAGAAATTATATTAACAAAGCATCTAACATTCTAACTTAAGACAACTGGCAAAAGGTAGCAAACTGAACCCATTGTAGCAGAAGGGAAGAAATGTAAAGATTAGTGTGAAAATTAATGAAATACTGAATAGGAAAAACAGTTGAAAAAATCAACGAAACAATGGTTTTTCCATGTCTTTTTATGGCTTAGTAATGCATTTCTTTTTATCACTGATTAGTATTTCTTTGTCTAGATGTGTTTCAATTTGTTTATTTAATCACTTGTTGGAGGACATATTGTTGCTTCTAATTTTTGGCACTTACAAATAAAGTTGCTATAAACATTTGTGTGTGTGTGTGTGTTTAATCAGAGAGAGAGAGAGAGAGCACAAGCAGAGGGAGAAGCAGGCAGCAGGCAGAGGGAGAAGCAGGTTTGCTGCCGAGCAGGGAACCCGATGCGGGACTCGATCCCAGGACCCTGGGATCATGACCTGAGCCGAAGGCAGCCGCTTAACCGACTGAGCCACCCAGGCGCCCCATGTATACAGATTTTTGTATAAACATAAATTTCAACTCATTTGGGTAAATACCTAGGTGTGCAGTTGCTGGATCAGATGATGAGACTATGGTTAGCTTTGTTAGAAAATGCCAAACACTCTTCCAAAGTGGCTGTACCATTTTACATTTCTACCAACAACGAATGAGAGTTCCTGTTGCTCCACATTCTTGCTAACATTTGATATCAGGGTTTTGGATTTTAGCCATTCTAATAGGTGTGAAGTAGTATCTCTTTGATTTAATTTGTAATTCCCTAACATAACAATATGATTAGAAATATGACATTTTTTTCCCTTTTCTTCTTAAACATTGACAAGGACTTAGAGGATATAGTCCATGACTATTAATTCTAATATCTGTAGCCTCATGGGCTCTGTCTCTCTTTTCTTTTTCATGTTCTCTTGTTTCCTTGGATGCCTGATTATTTAATTCCTTTAAATTTAAACTACTTTATGGATGTATGATTAACATATAAAAAGCTGAACATATTTAATATATACAATTTGATGAGTTTGATGAGCTTGGTTACTTATTTCTATACATGTGTATGTATATCAGCTAGACATTGTATTTGCAAAATTATGTGTAGAAATTATGAGAGCCTTAACATTAACACTATCTTGCTCTGGATAGGAATTATGTTTGTTTCTTCCATTCTTCTAGGCACCAGGATTACATCAGTCCAGTTTAATGATTGAGGTGATTCAAAACTGAGCTGCATTTCCTATGAGAGCCTGTCTTTCTAGTTTACCCTTCCTCATAGGGTAGAGTCATTTGGAGTCTTAACCCAAAGCAAGGAGGATTGACCTTGATCCTAATCTGAGCCCTAATACTGACTCTGTGTCTTTGTAGCCTTATATGGACCTACTCCCTATCAGAGGACCTGGCTCTTAAATGTTTTTTGAATGAACAGATGAACTTACTACTTGTCAGGCATTGTTGCTGCTTACTGAAATACAGATTAACCTTTCTCTAATCTGGAACAAATTTTAGAATCACAATTTCTAAATTTAGAAAGAGTTTGAAATAAAGTAATATTACTTTAAGCACTCCCTGTGTAAATGGTATAAAGCTTGAATGGAATCTTCAAAATATTTGTTATAAATAATCTACAATGACTTCTTTTTTGGAACTTACGTCATGTGTTTTCATTTTATTGATCTTTTCTACTGTTGAAATAGAATTCATCCTTAAATGTATTCATTTGCTGTTCTTTTTGTCTCATTTATTTAGGAGACACGTTTTAAGCATCTGCTATATGGCAGGAACCCTCCTCGGTGTTGGGCTTATAATTTAGTTCCTGCTCTTAAGGATCTTGGGGTCTAACAGGGAGGTAATGACGTGAGATAAGGGCTATCTGGAAGATTCCCATAGAGTGTCGGCTTGGGCAAATCCAGGAACTGCTAGTCTTGAAGGACAAATAAGAGTTGGAGAGGTGGTGAAATATGATGTAGGGCGTTGTTTCCACTATGTTAATAATATCTCAGGGCGCCTGGCTGGCTCAGTTGGTAGAGCGTGCGACTCTTAAGCTTGGGTCGTGACTTTGCCCCCAACGTTGGGTGTAGAGCCTTTTTAAAAAAATAATAATGGGGATGCCTGGGTGGCTCAGTCATTAAGAGTCTGCCTTCAGCTCAGGTCATGATCCCAGGGTCCTGGGAT